AGGTGCATAATACATCTTTTACCTAGACAACTGAAATAGCCTCCTAAAATTTTTCCTTTAACAATGCTTACAGAAATTATTTTTCTCGTTCCTTTTGTTATCTTTTAAGTAAACGAAACACAGTATTGTAGTTGCAAACATTTTAGAGTTGCCACTTAGGAAAACAATCCCTAAAACAACTTTTAAACATATCACTTAGCACATGTTTTACATAATCAACTGAATGTTCTTACATTTTAGCATTATTATATTCAACAGAAGAAAATGCAAACCACTGGATAGATAGGTGTTTTTTGTGTGCATTTCTTAGTTTTGAACAATTTAATGCTTATTATTTTGTAACATGTGAGCTCTAGAATAGTTCCTATTTTATTCAAGCAAGAGACTCTGCAATATGAGTACCTGATTGTGACTGAGTCTGTTGATTACCCAATAACCATTCTCCCTTTTTCTTTAGTAACACAACACTGAGTAATGTGCCCAGCTAGAAAACTCCAGCTTCCCTTGCAGATGGGAGCCAATATAAAATAAGCATTAGTCTTTATGTGGTGCTTTCAGGAAAACCCTTTTTCTCTCATCCTTCCATATTTTTTCCTGCCTGGAACTCCTACATGATGGCTGGCACGACCGGTAATGGGATCGCAACCCTCGGTGTCGCACCCGTACCGGGGACCGGCAACGGGATCATAACTCTCGGTGTTGTGCCTGCACCGCGCTCAGCCAGTGAGCGGGAACCGGTCTCCACATGGGATCCGAACCCTCGGCAGGAGCGCCGCCACGCTCCCAAGTGGCGCACTCTCCAGTGTGCCACCAGGCCGGCCCTTATTTTTTAATAGATTCTCCCAATCAGCCAGATTCAAGGCTACAAGGGAGCCCCAAAATGTGTTTCAACCAGCACCAGGATATGCTGGAAGGTTCATTAAGAATGCAGATCCACAGGCCCACCACAGATCTGCTCAACATAATCATCATGAGCCAGCCCAGGAAGCTGCATTTTAATGAGATACTTGGGATCTTATAAACATTAAAATTCTACATTACTGCTCGAGAACTGCCTTTTTAAAAAAAAAATTCCATCTCTCTCCTGCCCTATATTCACTATATCGCTAAGTCCTATAATGTGAACTTTGTGACATCATTTCCTACTATTCTCCTCCTCACTGTTCCTTTAACACTCCAGACTCTCTCCTGCCCTGGGGCTTTGCTCTGGCTGTTCTCTCTGCCTGGAGCATCCTTCCCCCAGATCCCTACCAGGCTAACTCCCTCACCTCCTTCATGTCAATTTTTCAAATAAAGGCTAGCTTAACCAACCTACTTAAAATTGCAATCCATCCACTGACCTTACACATCTTCCCTTCTTTTTATTTTCCCCATAGCATTCACCACATAACAAATTCTATAGCTTCCTTAATTTTTTTGTGTTTGCTTTGTCTCCAGCCTCACTAGAATGTAAGCACCTTCAGGGCAGGGCTTTTTCTATTCTGCTCACTGATGTATCCCAAGTACCTGGAACAGTACTTGTAAGAGTTTAAAAGATATCTGTTGAGTTAATGATTTAGTCAGAAATCTCTGAATGCTCCTTTCCCATTCTTACTGTTCCATCCTAATACTAATCCTGACCTTTGTCATTTTAAGACTTTACTTGCAATAGAGTCTGTCTACAGTGCCTTTCCCTCCAAACCACCCCAAACGCTTCCAGACTTATCTAACAAATTTCCTTTGGGATGTCACTCCCTTATAATAAATTGGTTACCAACTGGCTCTGTCAGAGATTATAAATTGGTGTCATGCTAAAATGAGAAATTAGATTAGATGAACTCTAAGATCCTGGTCAAATACTCAATTCTATATCCAAGTGACTCATTTTGGCATTCAAAGTGCTGTGTAATCTGGCAGGAGGCTACCTATCCAAACCTAGATCCTGCTCCTTCCAAGTTTCCCTCTGTTGCTGGCCAATTTCCTTAAGAATTCTGAAATAAGCCATGTTGGCTTTCACCATTTTTTCATGTCATTACTCTCTACTTTCAACATCCTCCCAGCTACTGAAATAGATGGCAATATCCTTTAGAATCTTGCTGCTCAGACTGTGATCTGCAAGCCAGCACTACCTCTGAAATTGTCAGAAATGTAACAATTCCAGCCCTACCTCAGACCTCCTGAATCAAAACCTGCATTTAACAAGATCCCCGGGTGTTCAAATACACCTTAAAGTTTGAGAAGCATCGTGTGAGAACTCATCTGAAATCATACCTCAATGAAATGTTCACACGGCAGGCCTCATGCTCAGGAATAAGTATTACTGAATTCCTGATCTTCCACAGGACTTATGTCACCCAAAACATACCCTCTTAGACTATTTATTTCCTATTTCATTTAAGTTCTTTCTCCCTAATTTTGTTATAGAAAACTTGCAGGCAGGACAGTCATGTATCTGGCCAATCTGGATGCAGGAAACAGAAACCCATTCACGTCACCTTGGGAACTGGGACTAGAAAACTCAGAGAGGAAGGGCTTCAAGGTCTGACGACTCTCTCCACCCTCTCTCAGCATGGGCGTCTGCCTATCCACTCCATTCTCTTTCCTATTTCTCTACTCAGTAGTTTCTGTTTCCTTACATCGGCAGCATTCACATGACCTATAATGGCCATCCATTCTCTGCCCTATCAGGCCACTCACCTCTGTTCCCTTCTGCTTTAATTTTCACTCTAAGTCTCTAACCTTCAGACTTCCCGAGAGATGATCACAGATAATCTTTTTGAGCCAAACCACACCGTTACAAGTATCTGAGTCACCTGTGAAATGGATGCCCTTCGGTTCAGTGGCCACTCACCTCTGTTCCCTTCTGCTTTAATTTTCACTCTAAGTCTCTAACCTTCAGACTTGCCGAGAGATGATCACAGATAATCTTTTTGAGCCAAACCACACCGGTACAAGTATCTGAGTCACCTGTGAAATGGATGCCCTTCGGTTCAGCCTTTGTGTCAGCTGATCCAGACAGCTGAGGCCAAGGGGGTTGCAGTTCAGAACAAGGCCTTTTAGGCAGCAGGAGCTGTCACTGGAGAAAATTCATTAGGAAAGAAAGGTGTGGGCAGAGTACTTGATGAACCACATCATCAGCACACAGAGTGATTATTTATTTTGTCTTCACCACAGTCTGGAGCAAAACGCTGAGCACATAAAAATTAACCAATATGGGAGGGAAGGGTCATTCACTAAGCATCACTAAGCCCCTGACTCTGTGCTGGATGCACAGGAAACACAAAGATTAAATAAGAAGGAGTCCTTGTTTTCCTAGAGCTCTTAATCCAGATGTGTCACTGAACTAGCTTCTCAACCTTGGGCAAGTTACTAAACCATTCTGGGCCACAGTTTTCTCAGTGGTCAAATGGTACATTCATCAGCCTCCAAAGTGTTGTAACGTTTCATAAAGTAATCCTTGTGAAAGTGCTTTGTAAAATACATATGCCAATCAGAAACATACTGCAGCCTTTCAGTGCTAATAAAATCCTCTCACATGCCACTGTTTTTGCATTGCTTTTGGGTGTTTTCTGTCGTCCCTATTTCCCACAATATATGATCCATCAATTGCTATTATGTGTTTGAAAGAACACCACCATTAACACTACCTCTATGGCTCAAATGGTGATTAGGAAAATTTATTCGTTTTATTCAGAAGTGTAAACAAATATATATTTTTACTGTTTACATTTTTCATAACATTATCATCTATTCATACAACTCTGTATCTAAAACTGTAATGTCCTATACAAATATTTTTTCAGCGTATTACAAATGACATTAGTATGTATTATATTCTTATATAGGATACAGGTCAGTTTTGACTCTTGTGTGGCCTCCTGCCCAGAGAAGTTTCACTGAATATCTTCTAAGGGCTGCAATAAAAAAATCGTATTACTAGAGGCCAGGGACCCTATTTTTACGTGGGGACTCTGAGGAGGAAAAATAATAAAATGGCCTGTCTCAAACCCCTAGACTCCTATTCTCCTAACTTCTATTTTTTTTTTTTTTCCTGAAACCACTTTACCACCTGCCTCACAGTAAAGGGTGGGGGTGAGGAGGAAGGCTGGCAATCAGTGATGATGGCAAAATAGACCAGTCCTCAAAAACGTGTTATTCCATCCTTTGCAGGATTTAAATACAGATTTATGGAACAGAAAAACAAAAGAAAACAAAGCTCGAGATAAGTGTAGTCTTGGCTTTGCCCTGAGCAAAATCAAGTAATATTTACTGAGTGTCTGTCATAATGGCAGGCAGGATGCTGAGGATGCCTCGATCCTCCAAAAGCTTACTTGCCTATACTCTCAGGCATCTGTTGCTCTGTGCTGACAAGTGTAGCCATTCAACAGCTGGCCCTGGGTGGAGCAAAGCTTCCACCTTGCTAAAGTCAGCTCAGCTGGGCAAACTGCGGGTTTCAGGCAAAAGGAAAAATAAAAATGAAACCTCAGACGGTAGCCGGGTGAGACACCGCTGCAGTAGGCAGAATTGCAGAGACGGTAATGCACGGCGCCCACGGAGCATACAACCCCGTTAAGCCTCCTTGCTCTTTGAGAAGCAAAGGACTGTGGATCAAAGGATCCTGCCGCCTTGGCAAGGCAAACCCTCTTCTCTGGGAGCTGGGATGTTGAGGCTGCGAAAAGGTGGGCGCCGTAGGTGGGGCGGTGGGCTGGGGATCTGTTCACTAGCGGGAGGAAACTGAGCGGAAACCTGGAGATGTGCGCGCTACTGGGGAGGGAGATGGGCAGGGGGGTGCGCTCGGTGACGGGGTCCGAGAGCCTGGAAAGGGTCTGCGAGTGCACTGGTGGCAGCGCAGGGGGAAGCATCCGCTGGGAACCGGGTGCGACAGCCGGACTGCCCGGGGGAAGAGGTGGGAGGGGGAGTCTCTTCCCCGATAAACACACACGCGCCGCCTGACCCCGGGATGGCCCCAGCCGCCCCCATGCGCGCTCCGCGCACAGCCCAGTGCTGCGACGGCCACTCACCTTCAGCGCGAGAGCGGATCTCCGACACGGTCCTCCGCATGGTGGGCATCGCGGCGGCGGCCGCAGGTGGGTGCTAAGCCCGAACTCTGCACCTGTCACGGCGCCGTGCGGACGGGAGACCTGGCTGCGCCCGGCCAAGCGCTCAGCTGCAGCTCCGGCCCCGCCGCCCACCCAGGGCAGCGCCGCCGCCGGGCGAGGCCCCGCACGCCTGCAGAAGGAG